CCCCGCTCCGCAGGTGAATGCGGACACCCCAGCGGACACGGACCACGTTCCCTCGTTCGCCGCTAAGACGTTCGTGGTTCGCGAGGCGCCGCCGGAGTTCCACCCGCCCGGCTACGAGGCGGCGGTGGTCTTCCCGAGCCTGGCCAAGCGGGTCGAGGTTCCGCGGACCAAGTTCTTCTGCGAGGAGCAGAGCTACCTCCCGGGCATCTACGCCGACGTCCAGCTCGGCTGCAAGGTCAGTGGGTCGCCGGAGGTCCCTGGTCTTTGGATCGAGGTCGCCGGGAGTGGGGGCTTCAGGGAGCCGCCCTTGTTAAGAGGGCGGCGGCGCAGACGGGCGGCGCCCTCTTGCTGATTGCCACAATGGAGCAAGTGATGTCAAAAGGCGGGAACCAGTTTCCTGACGTAGGTAGTCGCTGATCTTCCGAAAGCACTAACGTTTCCTTCCCTCCCCAGGTGTTCCACCTGTGCCTTCCGGCCGCCATGGGCAACACGCTCACCAGCTTCATGTGCCCCAACATGACGCTCTTCGACCAGTCCATCATGCAGTGCAACTACTGGTTCAACGTCAACTGCGCGTCGTCGCCCCGCCACTACGACGCCAACCTGCCGATGGCGCTCAGCTACCGCAAGATCAACGCGGCGCAGCTGCCGTTGACCGCCGTGCGCGACCTCGGCAGCGTGGCGCTGATGGGGCTCGACGCCCCTCAACGCGGCCAAACGCGGCCGCGCCGAGCGTCGACGTCGCGGAGAACCTGGCATTCAGGCAGGAGGCGGGCGAGGTAGGCCCGAGGGAGGGCAGAGACAGCCCGAGGGCGGAGCAGCGGGACGTCTTCGCCCTCGCCGACGGCACACCGCGGAGCCCCCGCACGCTCGGCTTCGAGGAGGACGGCGGGAAGGAGACCAAGAAGAAGAAGGCCACGAAGGCAGCCGAAGGAGAGGCAAGGAGGAAGGGGCGCGAAGCCGGCGAAGAGGAGGCAAGCCGGAAGGAACAAGCAGGAGGGGGAAAGGCAAGGCACAAGCCGGAAGGAGAGGAGGCAAGCCGGGGAGGGAGGCAAGCCGGAAGGAGGCAAGCAGGAGGGAGGCAAGCCGGAGGAGCAAGCAGGAGGGCAAGCCGGAGAGGCAAGCAGCAGGAGAGCGGGAGACGGCGGCGGTCGGCGGCGGCGCCCCCGCTGATAATGCGCTTGTACAAGCTCCAATGACGAGAAGCGGACATGACAGCACAAGATTAAATAAACCAGTCGGTGAAGTGAAACAAATACTCATTGCAAAAAAAAAAAAGAAAGAAAAAAAATCACACGAGACCGCCAGTCGCTCTGACGTCACAACAGCGCGGCCGCGTCGGCGCCGACGTCACGGCTCCCTTTATGGTCTCAGGCACATGTACCGGGCGATGGAGTGCTCGTGGACACCGGTTTGCATTTTGCATCGTTGTTTTTGAAGCTCTGATTGTGATTTCCGAACTGCCAGTCAAAGGGAAAGGTGAAAGGGGCCGCAGGACGGAGGACCTTTCACGGGGGTCGCAGCGGGCCAGCGACTCTCGCCTTTGCGCTCCAGCTGAGGGAGACCTGCACGCAGGCAGGTATGCGCGAGATCGCTTCAACAATATGTATCAGTATGTGTTAATAAGATATTTATGTGATGTATGTATGAATATTATATATATATATTTATATATTATATATATATATTATATATTATATATATTATGATATATGTATTCACGTATATGTACATGTGTGTATGTGAGTTTGAATGTCGTCTATATGTGTTTGTTATCATTTATCTGTATATAATGACATCCCTATTTACTGATCCAAAGTGTCATTCTGATGTTTTCGTTCGAGTGCACCGATATATTCCCAAATGATTCGTCTGTTATAAAATATGATATGAATTGTGAATATTGATGTAGATTAGCGTTATAAAACACCGTTGACATACCTCGAAATGTTAGCACCGGAGTTCCGCAAACTGTGCCGTTCGTGCTTCGACTTCGCCACAGTTTGGGAGACTTCGATGCTGCACTTTAGCTACTTATTGTCATTGATTTTTTTGAGTGGTGTGTTGTGGTTTGTGATTGTAAGCGTTGAGAAGGTAAGATGATATGGTTTATTCGATAATCAAACTATACTTGCCAATATGGTTGCCAAATATGTTCTTCTAACTATTTAAGACACTATTTTATTATGTGTGCAGTATAATCTCTGTTTATAATGCATAAAATTCCGAACATTTTCTGGAGTTAATCCATTTTTCCTTAAAAGCAAAATGTTTGCATACACTGTACATACAGATTGTATTTTTGTGCATATTTATTTAGTTCTCAATAAAGCATCATACCTCACTTTCTCTTGTTGTTTCAGTTTGTTTGTTTTTTAAGTAAAAGATTCAAGAATTCAACACGCGAGAGCAAGTGTCTGCTTTACACGTCCGCCTTGCGAAGGAGCCAGCAGGATACGGGAGGGCGAGGCTCAGGCATAAGGACAGAGGCGGTAGGGCAGGTAGATGGAGAAGCGGATAGACTGAGAGCAAGTAGATGATAATAATACAGCAGCAGACTCCTAGAGAGGCCCATTTATCTCAGCAGCCCGATTAAGAAAATGCGAGCCACGGCTGCCATTCTCTCGACATATGCAGCTTCTCCCTTTCTGAAAATGCGTCGACACAAGATTATGGCAAATTATGGAAGCTGTTATTCTGATCTCTGCATTTCTCCTTTTACCATTGCAAAGAAACTCCCTGAGACAGCGATGCCCTTCCCTCTTTAATTGTTTGGCCCCGACCAGAATGCAATATTTTTTTATGGCCCGTTCGGTGTTTGTCATCTTTCCAGGTTCAGTTTTTGCTTGTTATTATTAATAGCTATTTCACTTTACTGATACGCGACAGAGAATCATATGATTTATAATGTCAGAATTTTATACTGGATTTGTCCAAAAAAAAAAATAATTAATTGATCCTAGAATAGAGGACTACTACGTATTCTTTAGGTACTGCTTTAATATCAGGAATAATGTTCGTCTAAGTACACAGAAAATGGGATCACTCTTCGTCCTAAGAAAATGGGACCACTCTGTCACAGAGAAAATGGGATCTCGTAATCTGAAGGGAACGGGATAACTCTTTCAAACATGCAGATGAAGCATTGCCTGGTTTCCCTTGCCTGAAGCAGAGGGTGTATCGAGGTCAAACTTCAAACGAAACATTCCACAAGAGAGAAAACTGTGCTATCCGAGAGAAACGTTTCTCCGATCTTTGGCTGAATCAGCAATTGACGCAAGACCCTTCAATATTTAGGCCAGATTACTACAGGCAGCAAGGGATCAGACTGACAATGACCTGCAGGTAAGATGCCATGATGTTCGTGAGCGAGGCCTTGTGGCCATCCAGGCTAAATGCCACGGAACTCCGCCCTCCGCATGTCTGCCAGAAGAGGTGCAGAGACGACATTGTTTCCTCTCGCGGCTGCACTGGAAGCGTCCCTGAGTTTCTCGCAAGCACCCTCAGCCTCAGCTCAACGCGCCTCGAAGAAGAGGGAGCCTTTGCTTTGTGCTGAGTGACACATGCCAGTTCCGTGCTTGCCTTCCAGCCGTCCTCTAGGAAGCAGGACCCTCCTTGTACAAATCAACTTTGATGCGTGCCTCCGGTGAGTCGCTACATCACACCTGAGTTGAATGAAACAGTTTGTTGAACCATCGATATTCTACCTCAGCACTGGTAGGTCTTGCAGAATGGTTTGTGTTTCTTTCGCATACTTCATCTCGTAGCTACATAACAACCTGTATAAGACACTAGTATAGTTCTCATTTCACGGTAGAATGTTTGTGTGTTAGTGTGATATATATATATATATTATATAATATTATATATATATATTATATATATATTATATATATATATATAGAGAGAGAGAGAGAGAGAGAGAGAGAGAGAGAGAGAGAGAGAGGAGCGAGGGAGAGGGAGAGGGAGAGAGAGAGAGACAGAGACAGAGATAGAGAGAAACAGACACAGAGAGAGAGAGTGAGAGAGGAGAGAGAGAGAGAGAGAGAGACAAAGACAGAGACAGAGAGAAGAAGAGAGAGAGAGAGGGAGGGAGAGAGAGGGAGAGAGAGAGAGGAGAGAAGAGAGAGAGAGAGAGAGGCAGAGAGAGAGAGAGAGAGAGAGAGAGAGAAGAGAGAAGAGAAGAGAGAGAGAGAAGAGACAGAGAGAAATAGACAGAGAGAGAGAGAGAGGAGGAGAGGGAGGGAGAGAAGATACGCAGAGACACAAGTAACAAGAAAGGCGAAGCGAAGAGAGAAAGAGCGAGAGGAGAGAGAAAGTTCCCCGTGCCCTAGATCCAGTGCCCGCCCTGTCCCTTCCGCGGGAGGTACAGACGGCGCCGACGTGCTTGGGATCAGAAAGCATAAGCCTTATGCATGCTTTCATGTGCGCGCCCATTAGTAAGTGTGCCACTGAACCACTGCCCCGTTTAGTTATGTTTTTTTCCATTGTTTACGTGAAGAGAAAAAGTGAAGCTGTATTTGGATTCGGGGAAGGTTAGATTTTAAAAGGTACAGAGAAAGAGAGAGAGAAAAAAAGATAAGCAGAGAGAGAAGTGCGAGAGGAAAGAGAAAGGAGAATAGAGAAGATAGAGAAAGAGAGAGAGGATACGAGAAAAAAAAAAACAATTATGGAAAGAGAGAGATGGTACGAGAAAAACAATTAGGGAAAGAAAGAATGGGAGAGAACTGTGGGAGGAAAAATGGACAGAGAGAAGAAAAAAGAGGGAAGGAGAGAATACAGACACACAACCGAAGATGAAAAGAGAGAGGAAAGGGGAAGCGAGAGAGAGGAGAGTAGAAGACAGGATAGAGCTGCAGACTCGCCCTCCCCTTTCACCCCCGGAAAAGACAGCGCGGGGGATGTGGGGGGGGTACGCGGCTCGGAATGGTGGAGGGAGGAGGGGAGGGTCGAATGATGAACCGCCATCAAGAGGTTATTAGAGATTGCAGTCGCAACGGCCAAAGAAATATTTTCCTGGACCTGCAGTGACACGCACGCACGACACATACACACAGATCTGTATACACATAAACACTCATATATATATATTTGTGTGTGTGTGTGTGTGTGGTTGTGTGTGCATAGGGCATGCATGTACGTAAACATGTACATTTACTTATTGTATAACCGTATGGACTTGCCATCAACCATATTCAGTGATGATGATGGTAATTCGGCAACTACAGATGATGAGTAGAAAAAAGTAGAAATTTGTTTAATTATCTTCTTTAAAGACCCTGCTACAGGTAAAATTCGCATAACTGACGTTTAGCCATTGTGCATTATCGTGATATACGGATCACTCTTATACCTGAGTTTTATCTGTTGGATTAGTATACTGAAATGACTGGTAATGATAACAACTAATTTGGTCCTCATATACAACTCTTCACAGGACTTGCTGTCGCATTTCCTCGATTCAAGGGACCTCATACCGTTCAGCTTGAACGGTCGTTAAAACTTTCCGGCGCAAAACCGGCTTTGCGTTTGTCCGGGACGCTTTTTGAGAATTTGATTATGGCAGAGGTAAGAGCGGATCTGAAGTACTTTCCATGCTTGCTTCAGGCTCTTAAAAGCAAACAGGAAAAGAAATTCGCGACTCTGCTTGCTCACCTTAATTCAGTGCTCTTGTTTCGCAATTAAACAAGGAAGGTTCTCTACTGGTTTTACGTAAACCATACTTAGACATTATATATATATATAGAGAGAGATAGATAGATAGATAGATAGATAGATAGATAGATAGATAGATTACGATAGGGATACACACACACACACAACACACACACACACACACACACACACACACACACACACAATATATGTGTGTTGTGTGTGTATGTATGTATGTATAAATATATACTAATTATTATAATACTAATAATATAGATAGAGAGAGAGAGAG